CTCTTATTAAATCTATCTATAACTTCTATAATAGTAAAGAAGAGTTCATTTCAAACGTCACAAATTGAAATCAACTCTCTCAATTTATCTCTCAATTTAAAAAAAAAATAGAAAATGGTTAAGTTTTGATTGAAGTTTAGATTTACGGTTCAAATTTTATCTAAATTAATCTAATTTAATCCAAAGGTTCGTAATACATCCCACCCAAAAATTAATCCCTTTTACACGTTATCCAACCCAAGTCAGACGCCCATTCTCTCTCACCAACCCTCCATCTTCTCTCTCTTTCCTTTCTTTCTCTCCTATCTCTTTGTTCGGGGCACCATGGCATGGAGCAACTCACCATCGAGTCACTGACGCCACTCTCTCTCACCCAGTGTTTTAAAACTCGGCCCAGCCCGGCGCCTAAATCGGGTCGGTTCACCATCAGTCAAGTGCCTAAACCATGGAATGGAGCAACTCACCATCGATCAAGTGCTTAAATCGGGCCGGTTCACTCATTAGATCTTTGCATAGAATCGGTTAAAATTTGTTGAATCAGCTAAAACCCGCTGACCCATGCAACCCGGACGAGTATAATCAAACCGATCGAATCATGTCACTTTGTATAAAAGGCTAATATTTGGGCATTTTTTCCTAAATCCATAAATCGACTCTATCCAATAAGTCGATCGAAGTCAAACGACGAAGACTAGCCTCTGCCTCTTCGCAATAGTCGAGTAGTCGACGACCTTCTCAAGCTCTCAGCAATTAGCCCAGTCTTTCTCTCTTTCTCTCTCTAAGTTTTAGACTTTTAGATTCAGGCTCTCATCTCAAGTCTTAATCTCAGTTCTCTCTTTGTGTCTCTGACGCTGCGAACAAGCAAGGAAAGAAGGCTTCAAAGGTCCTTCCCATCAAAGCATTGACGACCATTGATAGCGGTAGGTACACTATACTCTCTCTCTCTACTCTCTAACATGTACACAGTTGACAGAATATGCCCTAATATGCTATATTTGATTTTTGATTTTTATACATTGAATCTTTGATAATGCCCCTCATTCTCTGTGTTAAATACATTGAATCTTTGATAATGCCCTAATCGGCTAATCTTTGATAATGCTCCATCGATGACACAACACAGCACACGGTCAAAGGCCCTTCATTCTCTATAAAATCCTATAAAACCCAAGTATACAACTTGTTATAGAATCTTTATGTGATGTGGTGTTACCCATGAATAGGTTGTAGTCATTTCTCATTGGGTTATTGTAGCATAATCTCACTGCCTTCATATTTCTCTCTCTCTCTCTCTCTCTCTCTCTCTCTACTATTTTCAACGCAAATTTGATTTTTTATTCCATTATTTTTTGTTATTTTTCATTTGTGTTGTTGTAGGATTTGGTTTTGATTTTTTGATCGGTGGATTTATGAGGTTTGTAAGGTTACATTTCAAATTTTGATATTGAATCATCCAAATTGATTGTTGATATACTGGGTATTGTGATTCTGAGTTTTTAATTTGGCATTTGACAAATTTTTTTGGTTTGATTTTTTGGGTTTTTATTTGATCTAATATACAATAAACATGGTTATTTTTATACTTATGATATTTTTTGGTATATTTTTTATTATTAATTTTTTATTAAATAACCGGTCTAACCAATGATCCATTGATTGAACCAGAGACCCGGTCTCTTTGTTGGGTTTATCTCCAGATCGGTTTTAAAACTATGCTCTCACCAACCCTCCATTTTATGTAGCTCTATAATTTATAATGTCATACAGGCCGAAAATAAATTTAAAAATCCAATACGGCTAATCTAACAATTCTCTCAAACAATATCTTGTGGAAAAAATGTTTGATGTAATCGTTACGCTATGTCAATAGTACCAAGTGGTGTAACCGCCCACTAATAAATAAACAAGTTAGCCAATGAGCCCTAGCATGTAATACATAATCACCTCTATGATAAAAAGTGAACCCCATTTTATCTATTTTATAATTTTCTTATTAGATAGTTATATCACATCAATACTATTGATATGTCGTAACCGTTACACCTAATATTTACTCTATATTCTGAATGGCAAAAGAAAAAAAAAATGTTGTGGTTGCGTGCATCTAAATGTATGAGTTCATAAAATTCTTCATTATTTTTTCTTTCAATTAACCTTCTATTGACCAGTGAAAGAAAAAAGTTATGGAGATTGACGATCAGGACTATCTTGGAAAAGTCTTTAGTTTGGATAATCATTAAAGTGTACAATATTTTTTTAAAAATATTCATGAATATTTGTTAAAAAATGGTACATTCAGATGAATAGAGTAATACATTTTAGTATGAAAAAGAGATTGATAGAGACTTGGGAGGGGGAGGGAGACAAAGAAAGATTGACAGAGATAGGGGGAGAGAGACGGTTTTTTCCTTATGGAGAGGGGCAGAGAGAGAAAGGGGGGAGGGGGGAGGTGTTAAGTCAAACGCTAACATTGATGCACAAGATGAAGTCGTGTATTGTTGGTTGGTCTTTTGACTTTCATACTGAAGGGATAATTTTTAGTTCAAAATACAAGGTTTTGAGTTAAAATCAATTTTAATTTTCAAGGATTGCGAGCCAAGAAAAATTCAGCTATTGGGTCAAGTTATACCCTTCTACGGTTAGTTACATTCTTTTGTTGTGTTTTTGTGTTGACTCTAAAGTTTTAGGATTGATCGTAAAAATTATGGTCTATTCTAAAATTTGAGGATCAATCGCAAACACCATAAAAAGGTGAAATGATCTCTAAAACGTATTACTCTCTGATACGATATTGAAGGGAAAAAGACACTTTTGATGTCGTAGTCTTATCTTTAAAATAGACTTGCCAGAGTAAATAAGTTGCATTAATTGTCCATGTGCCTGCCAAATCACCAAGATAATCTCAGAGAAAACCTATACTACGCCCTAGTTCTCAATGGAATCTTGATGGAGACATTCTGTCCAGTTTGTTCTTCCCTTTATTGTCTGTGTAAGATAACATTTCTCTTTCTCTTTTTTTTTTTTTTTGTTTTTGGGTTTCTCATTCTCATTTACTTGCCACTCAACAGTCGAGATAACATAAGACTAGGATGTAAATTTTGTGTGTCGTATCATGCATGTTATTTTGAGGTTTGAATTACAGATAACTAACACAAACGTCACTCACTTAATCTATCGTGTTAATCTATCTAAGACTGACACGTCCTGGTTATTAAAAAGATAACATGAACATATCGTGTTTAAGACGTTTAATATACAGATTGTGCATTGGTTAACAAGACCTAGGTATTACTAGTGTGATATGCTTATCATACATTCAATATTTGAGCTTACACGATATGAAAAACATAGAAACACGAACTATTCGGACGTTGTTTAACCTTTATAACATGCAAAATCCTGTCATATTTAACACTTAATACGTAAAATCAAAGACGGGCAGGGACGGGGAGGAATTTAGGGTTAATCAATTGAACATGATTAATTGAACGTCAAGTTTGTGTGCTAGGATACTTTTGATTCAAATCCAAAAATAACAAGATATATCCATGATAAAATTGACATTTCTAAAGGAAGAAGCCTACTGCAAAATATCTTCATAAGGATTCAATTGAGAACTAGGGAGCACTTAGATCAAAAAAATGAAAACGAAAACAAAAAACAAAAAAAGAATTAGGGTGTACCCTCGAGACTGGCTGTAGCAATATTATATTTATATACACACACACACACACACACACACACACACACACATATATATATACACACACAGATATATATATTTGTTGTTAAATCTCTTATTTAAATTTTGAATTATCTTTAATGCACCTTGATTCAAGCGTATTTTTTTTTTTTTGGAAAAGTGATTTTGTTTTCAAATTATATTTAATGCACCTTGATTCAAGCATTTTTTTTTTTGAAAAATAGTTTTATTTTCAAATTAATTTAATATTCGAATAATATAATAGTATAACTATAACAGTGTAATAATAACAGTGTAACAAATACACTGTAACAAAGACAGTATAACAAATACACTGTAACAAAAACAATGTTCAGTAGTTTTGTGTATATGGTAACAAATTCAAAACCGAGACGGACTATTTTAAATGAATTTATATGAAACTATATGTTTGACAAAATATAATAGTATAATATTTTGTGTAAATAACTTACTACACTATTATTGTTATACTGTTACGTTGTTAGTGTTACAATATTACACTGTTACACTTTATATTGTTACACTATTACACTATTCGGATATTAAATTAATTTAAAAATAAAACTACTTTCTTAAAAAAAATACATAAATCAAGGTGCATTAAAAGATAATTCAAAATTTAGATAAGAGATTTAAGAACAAATATATACATACATACACACATACATAAGTATACACACACACACACACACAGAGATATATATATATATATATATACTTGATTCAATTTCAAAATTTGTATTCATCTATATATATTAAAGTTCTCCCATAAAATTAGAAGATGTTTAATGCACCACTTTTCAAAGAAAAGTTATCCATTAAATACACATGGATTAATGGAGGGCAAAAAATGTCACAATAAAAATAGATAAATTCAAATTATGTACTTTGATACAAATAAGTATCAAAATTAAGTACTTAATAACACTATATTTTTTAGTATGTTGTCTAATTTAGTGTACCCCTTATAATTTATCCCTAATTTTTTTAATCAAAAGCCTCACATAGTAAACAACTATTTTTCTCTGTACTAGGCCGGGTAAATTTGGAGGCCTATGTGGCAGATTTTTACCTCAATTACACTGTGGTCCCGCACCAATTTTAGAGAGTGGTGTTGTCTTTCATGGATTGAATCAATGCAAAAATGACAAGAAGATCACATCACTACTTAATGAACCAAATATTCTGTGAAAGCTCCATCCACAATGCAAGTGGTTGTTCAGAATCAAGAATCTGCCATTATAAATATGAGAACTAAGTCCTCCCCCAACCCCAAATGTTGTTAGACACAATGAAGTCTTCTACCATATTTCATGTACTTCTCTTGCTGGTGCTATGTGCTTTCACTACATGCGGCGCACAGTCTCCGGTTCACCATTTGGAATTTGTCCAGACATGGCCCAACACTTTCTGCCAATCTACTCCATGTGTCGCACCAATTCCTCATAACTTCACAATCCATGGTTTATGGCCAGCAGCGATAGATGGACACAGCCTGGAAAATTGCAAAACCAAATACAAGAAAAGCACAACACCTGTATTATCACTGTTTCCTTGCTCCAACTCCTCTTCCTAGTTCCTACACTGTTGTGATACGGTTTAATTTGCTTCATTCTCTAACCATTCTTCGCTTTTTGTTATATATATATATATATATATGCAGTACCAGGGCATAAGAGGAGATATGGATAAGTACTGGCCAGCTCTCAACGCTGGGAAAACTAATGAGAACTTCTGGTGGCACGAATGGACGAAACATGGTTGCTGTCAAAATGAGTTCCAACCCCATGATTACTATAAGAAGGCTATCAAGCTAAAGTATGACATCAGTCCACTCAAAATCCTTGAAGATGCAAAAATTCTTCCGGGTTCGTCCAAGACTTACACAGTAAATGCCATTTCTCAAGCCTTTGAAAACGTGCTGGGGATCGGCAATAAAATTTGGCTTACATGCCACGAAAAAAATGGCCATTTTCTGCTTATGGAGGTATATGTATGCTTTGACCCTAAAGCAACTAGCCCTGTCTCATGCACATGGAAGGTTAAAAGGTGGACTTGTGGGACGGGAGATATCCTATTCCCCTGAGGTCGGTTCTTGGGTTTGTTTTGCCTCTTGCGTTTCCTCCTATCTGTGTCTTTCTTTCGAATTCTTATTACTTCTTTGTTTAACTTAAAAGTAGATACTAACATGTATTATATTTCATTTCGCAAGGACATTGCTGCTCGAAGACGAGAAATAACAGGTTCACAGTCATCATCACAATAACACTGGCGCACCTATGGTGAAAAAAGCAGATTGGTTGTGGGTTCAAAATGAGTATTAAAGTATTTCTGCTGTAAAAATTCCTAACTATCATATATACATAAATATTATTACATTTATGTTATATATGTGTCATTTGGATAAACTTTGATGCAATTCTAGGATAATGAAGTTGCAAATTTGACAACTCACTACTCGGCAAAATGTCCCTAAGCCATTCCAATATGTCCTAAAGTTCGGCCATCTTAAAATTGGTTAACAATGGAATTTTGACTGTCAGAGCAGCCATAGTGTCATGGGCGGCCAATTTTGTAGATTCTGATTTTGAAAAACATACATAGTAATGTCTTGAAATATAATGAACAACACCTCCCCACCCCCCTAAAAGGAAAAACAAAACCAGGAAAACTCATGAACAACCAAAGTCCTTATCAAGCCATTCCTAGGATCCCGGATCGTAAGAGGAGCATAAAAAATAGCAGATTCAGATTACATTAAACGCCAGGTCCTGAATTATTGCAGAACAATGAACTCCAATCAGCTTATAAACTATGATTCAAAATATAGAACTACAATCCGGCATAGAACTATGCTATATTTCAACACATAGAGTCATGATAAAGTATGATATGCTGATACAACATACTCCAAGAGATAACAAAACCTGTGCTTGCATCAATTCTTAGGGTAAATTTGAGTAGTCATCTTTAATATAGTAGCAGTTAATCATCTTTACTACAAGTATAGTCAATTGGAGACATATTATATGAATTGTGCTGGCAAAGTCCAAGCCTTATAACTCTCCAAATGGAATTACGAATACAGTTTTTCATACTGGTATTTTCTACAATTAAATGTTACAAGTTGTATTCCATGCACCTAATTATAATTTGAATCCCGCACTATTTGATCGTTTACTTACAGGAACAGGGTAATTACAAACTCTCTCTTTTACAAAATTTCTTCCCTGAATTTTAAACGATCAGAAAGTCAAATGCTACCACTGTGCCCTCTAATTAAAACACGCTCTACTAATTTTATACTGCGCCCTCTAAGTAATACATTTGCACAAATTTCACATCATTTATCTCACATTTAATTAATTTTCTGACGCAATAACCCTTAATCATCCCATATGGTTAAGAGAACACACCACATGCAACCACAACGGCTAAAAATGAACCCAACACGAAATATAGTACCTCACGTACAGTGCTCAACATAGCCTGTATTGCACTATAACTAAAATTAGAACCTCACCCCAATGCCATTTCAGCACAATCATATGGTTATTTGTCTCTCAAAAAATGAATTTTATGGTACCATTACAATGCTCACAACCCAAGAGGACAAAAGCAAAGAAGAGTCCTTTAACACACTATGTCTGCCCCGTAGTCAGTATTCACTTCCAGTATCTCATTGTGATAATATACCACACATTCATTATTTATCAATCCATGTGACTAATGATGCAGCGGAAATAGTCGAAATGTTTTCATTTCCAAAGTGATCAAAAAGAATGAGCAATAGAATCATAATTCCAATGTTTTACGGTATTTCGAAGTATGTCAGAATGTTTAGAGATATTTTGTCATACTATCGTTAAATGTTTCGAAGTATTTCAAGTTATTTCACAACTAATATTTTGAAATGTTTAGAGAGATAAATTCTTAAATTTTAATAATGCATTGAAATAAAATGTTAATTCTTGCCAATGATGTACATAACCCATTTCTCGGATAAATACATTCTCAACACTATCCTATGACACAAAGTGTAAAGTAGTATGACCACTTTTTAAGAAGGGATAATCGTACTTTACACCTTCAAAGTTTTAAGAATTATTATTTTATACACTCAAAAATTAAGTTTTTTATATTACACCCTTAATGTATCAAAAAAATTGTAATGTGGCCCATTTATTATACTAAATTAATTTTTTTTTGTCAGTGTCAAAGGAAAGGTTTTTTACAGAAAAAATAACGGAAGCTAACAAAATAGTCACATTACAACATTTTTAATACATTAAAGGTACAATATAAAAAGACAAGTTATTGCGTGTGCCTGAAAACACAGAGTAATAAAAAATGGTAAACAATAAACATATATGTATTTATATCTAAAATCAAATCACAAACATAGAGAAGAGATAAATGAATTTAAGCATCGCTTTGTAGTGGGAGTAAGAGGTAGTGGGTGGCGGTGATGGGTGACAGTGGTGATGGTAAGAAACGTTAATGGTTGTGGTGGGTGACAATGATCATGGTGGTGGCGGCAACGGCGACGGTGGTGGTGGTGGTGGTGGGGTGGTGGTGACGGCGACGACGGTGGTAGTGGTGGCGACAGCAGCGTTGATGGTGGTGGCGGCGACGATGATGGTGGTGGTGGTGACGACAGCGGTGGTGATGGCAGTGGTGGTGGTGGTGGTGGCAGCGACGATAACGGTAGTGGCGGCGACGGCGGTGGTGGTTATGGTGGCGGTGCCAGTGGTGGTGGTGGGGCCGTTTTAAACACTGTTTTTTTTTTTAAAAAATATTTTTGAAAAATAATTTCAAGAAGTACTATTAAAAAATTACTCCCGAACACACTCTTAGGGGCTTAGTTTTCCTATTAAATTTAGGGTGTTAATATTAGCCGTTGAATTAACTCTAAAGTAAAATTTAAAGCGATTTCAACCACGAATAGCAAAAGTCATTTTGTTTATCTTTTGAGATTTGAATTATAAGTTACTTTATTATATAAATTTATTTTTGAGGGTATAAAGTGAGAATCCTTGAATCTTTTAGAGTGCAAAGTAAAACTTTTCCTTTAACTAGTTGCACAGATATGTTGTACGTAGATTATTTAAATCTGTAATTTTAATGTTTATTTTACTATTTTTTATTTTGACTATCCAATACAATAACATGTTTCTGATACAAATTAATAAACTTGATGTGAGTTTTAATCCAAACTAATCCTGGACTTTTAATGAAAAGGTCAATTATTTTGCAAGTTTATGGGTGATGTAAGGAGGAAAGAGGTAGAATCATTAGAGAGTTGAGCTGATTAAATCCAATCATTAGATTAGTATTTTCAAGAATTTTTATTTAGATGTGACTTGATTAGAAAGAAATTAATTATTTAGCTAAATAAGTTATCCAGGTGGAATATCTGTATCTATATTTATATTTATACTACTAATAAAAATACCTTAACATGAAATTTTTGATTTACTATTTTTCCCATCTAAAAAAATTACAAAGACTAATATGTTCTTCTGTATAAATATATATATATTTTTTTGGGAGGGAAAAGGGGGAAAGGGGGAAGGAGACTTTAACCCTTAAACATAAGAAGGCAAAACCTTTACACGATAAAGAGTTTCATAGGACCAAAGGCTCATTGGTAAATCATCCAAATTTCTACCATTACATCTTTAATTACTTAAATATCCAAATTTTCCTCCAACAACCTTGTTTATATTTATACTATTTTTAAATGTCAACAACTAAGAACAACTTTTGAATGGTAATATTCTATAAAATATTTAACCACAAGACTATTCTTTTACATTTTAATTTTCATCATAGATATTAAATTATAATTAATTTAAAAAGTGAAATAACAAATCAAAGAGCATCAATTTATGAAGTCTCCCCTTGTAAATCTATCAATCCGATTGTTATGAAAGTTGGTCCAACATAACCCACATTGTTATCTCCCCCCTGTCATTGAAACTCACTTGCAGCGTCTCCTCTTCATTTGGGAAATTTGAGAAGGCAGTAGGATCATGACCTATAAAAGCATCGCTTGTACAAGTCAGACCGCCACGCCATAATTACAAGATCCCAAACAATCTCATGTTTGATATTACTAGAATCCCAGAAGTCATTAAAACAATTAAAACTCTTCAACTCTCTGTCTTACGGAAATATAATACTGTAAGTCTCTCGCTATTGAGTAAGAAGCACAAACCTTAGCCCAAAACTTCAATTTTATTCTCTCTTTGGGGTGGCTTGTTCTCCTCAACGAAAAACTTAAAGAATGAGAAGAAAAAGTTTGATTGTCATTAGAAAGAGAAAGATAATCTAACAAGTCAGAATATGAAGAAGAACATGTGCAAGATAATGCTTCTACCACTTCCAACAACAAGGCAATTCGGCGCCAAAAAGCTTTAGGAGACCAATAATGTATTGTGGAGGAGTGAACAAAGAACCTTTATAGACACTAAAAATTGACGAGTGCCATACAAGTAAACCAATGGTTTTATTATGTGTTGCAAGCGCCGATTGTAAGTAGTATGCAAGTGTTTGCTATGTTTGAGAGGAGTCTGATTTAGGTACCATAATCATAATACAATAAGAAATTGGCACATATAATTTTATTTTATTTTATTATTTTTATGATTAATGGCTACAAATATATTACCAAGATCTATGAATTCAAATTATTTTTAACATAGTATTGAAAACACCTTCAACACTGTAGTATTATTCCTTTGTGATTGGTGTTATGTGTTTGTAGTTTTGTAAGCTTGACTGATGTTTAGAACTTCACATTGTGCTCTGTTCAATTTTATTTTATTTTTTTAATTCTACTTGCAATATATCATGACAACATATATTTGTGACTGTATCATGACATTGATCTCCTCACTGAGCATTGACAAGACAACCACCCTTGTAATTTATCAAACTGCAATTCTGACAAACAAAGCCATTACAAGATCTCAAATCAAGTTATAACTAATAACTAATAACGCAATTATGTAATTTAGACGTAAGAATATTCTTTTCAATCAAACTAATAACGCAATTTATATTTTACCTCTTTCTTCAAAT